CATGGGCTACTAACAGCTTACTACACAACATACACTTAGTATTACTTTCTTAGCTACAGTATACAGTTTAAGTCGGAAGTTTACATGCACTTAGGTTTACATGCACACCGACTCTGGAGCTCTGTCAGAGTGACCTCCCTGACCAAGGCCCTTCTCCCCCGGTTACTCAGTTTGGCCGGGCAGCCAGCTCTAGGAAGAGTCTTCTTTTTTCAAATTTTTTTTTGGGGGGGTAGATCAGCTTTAATATTGCAGATAGATTGTAACTTCCATCAATGTAATTGTCTGCATCACTTCCAATCCCCCATATGTTTTTTTTTTTCTTCTCGCAAATATATATGTGTGTGTATATATATATATATATATATATAGACATACATACATACATACATACATACAGCGGGGAGAACAAGTATTTGATACACTGCCGATTTTGCAGGTTTTCCTACTTACAAAGCATGTAGAGGTCTGTAATTTTTATCATAGGTACACTTCTTCTTGTGAGAGACGGAATCTAAAACAAAAATCCAGAAAATCACATTGTATGATTTTTAAGTAATTAATTTGCATTTTATTGCATGACATAAGTATTTGATACATCAGAAAAGCAGAACATAATATTTGGTACAGAAACCTTTGTTTGCAATTACAGAGATCATATGTTTCCTGTAGTTCTTGACCAGGTTTGCACACACTGCAGCAGGGATTTTGGCCCACTCCTCCATACACACCTTCTCCAGATCCTTCAGGTTTCGGGGCTGTTGCTGGGCAATACGGACTTTCAGCTCCCTCCAAAGATGTTCTATTGGGTTCAGGTCTGGAGACTGGCTAGGCCACTCCAGGACCTTGAGATGCTTCTTACGGAGACACTTCTTAGTTGCCCTGGCTGTGTGTTTCGGGTCGTTGTCATGCTGGAAGACCCAGCCACGACCCATCTTCAATGCTCTTACTGAGGGAAGGAGGTTGTTGGCCAAGATCTCGCGATACATTGGCCCATCCATCCTCCCCTCAATACGGTGCAGTCGTCCTGTCCCCTTTGCAGAAAAGCATCCCCAAAGAATGATGTTTCCATCTCCATTCTTCACGGTTGGGATGGTGTTCTTGGGGTTGTACTCATCCTTCTTCTTCCTCCAAACACGGCGAGTGGAGTTTAGACCAAAAAGCTCTATTTTTGTCTCATCTGACCACATGACCTTCTCCCATTCCTCCTCTGGATCATCCAGATGGTCATTGGCAAACTTCAGACGGGCCTGGACATGCGCTGGCTTGAGCAGGGGGACCTTGCGTGCGCTGCAGGATTTTAATCCATGACGGCGTAGTGTGTTACTAATGGTTTTCTTTGAGACTGTGGTCCCAGCTCTCTTCAGGTCATTGACCAGGTCCTGTCGTGTAGTTCTGGGCTGATCCCTCACCTTCCTCATGATCATTGATGCCCCACAAGGTGAGATCTTGCATGGAGTTCCAGACCGAGGGTGATTGACCGTCATCTTGAACTTCTTCCATTTTCTAATAATTGCGCCAACAGTTGTTGCCTTCTCACCAAGCTGCTTGCCTATTGTCCTTTAGCCCATCCCAGCCTTGTGCAGGTCTACCATTTTATCCCTGATGTCCTTACACAGCTCTCTGGTCTTGGCCATTGTGGAGAGGTTGGAGTCTGTTTGATTGAGTGTGTGGACAGGTGTCTTTTATACAGGTAACGAGTTCAAACAGGTGCAGTTAATACAGGTAATGAGTGGAGAACAGGAGGGCTTCTTAAAGAAAAACTAACAGGTCTGTGAGAGCCGGAATTCTTACTGGTTGGTAGGTGATCAAATACTTATGTCATGCAATAAAATGCAAATTAATTATTTAAAAATCATACAATGTGATTTTCTTGATTTTTGTTTTAGATTCCGTCTCTCACAGTTGAAGTGTACCTATGATAAAAATTACAGACCACTACATGCTTTGTAAGTAGGAAAACCTGCAAAATCGGCAGTGTATCAAATACTTGTTCTCCCCACTGTATGTATATATATATATATATATATATATTATACACACACACACACATCCTTTTTTAAATTATATTTCCCTTCATTACTTTCCAACCCCACCACCCCTTCCCCAATTGGAGTAAACAAGTGAACAACAACGCTTAGGCCTCTACTTCCAGCCCATACATACTATATACATTTTATGGACACAGTCAAATTCTACAATAATTATATTTTGTTTGTTTTACTCCTGAACTTCCTCCGATCATTTTCATGATGTCCATCTGGTTTGCTTCTATATGCCATATTTTTCTAACTGTGCTCTTTCACAAAAGCTCTCAACCTATAACCTATATAATTATTATGGACACAGTATGCTTTACATTAGTTATCTTGTTGTTATTAGTTGTTGTTAGTTGTTATTAGTCCCATTCTTCAGCTCCATTCAACCCCTCCCATCTATCTCTTAACACCATCCATATTGGATTTCTATTTGCCATATATTTTTCAACTGTACTGTGATGTTTTACAAAAGTTCTGAACCTTTCTATTCTCATTGTTTCTACAGATCGTAAATTGAAAATAATTTTTTTTGCTAATAGTATTATTATGTTATTGATAGATTGACTATGACTTTTCAGATCACCCAGTAGTGCTATCTGCAGGGTTAGCTCCAGGTAAATATTGCAATCCTTTAGCCATTTCTGGACCTGTGTCCAAAAACAAGCTACAAATGGACAGTACCAAAACAAATGATCTAATGATTCTCTCTCTTCGCAGCAAAAACTGCAGAGCTGGGAAGATTGTATCCCCCATATAAATAACATTCTATTGGTAGCAAGAATTTTATATAATCATTTAAATTGAAAAATTATAAGTTTTGAATCCGGCGTCAATTCATAAACACTATGCTATGGAATCGGTACGTCAAAAATCTCTTCCCAACTATTTTGCAATCTATATGGGACGGCTGTCAATCCTTTGGTCCTTAAATGAAACTGGTATACTTTTTTATTTATCACAATTTTCTTTAACCAATTATGTTCTTTAATGCAGGGCCGACAGACAAGTTCCTTACTTTTCCCCCGTCCACTTTCCTCTTCCATTTTTGCGGTAATGCTGCAATTATTTGGTTGTAATTTTGGGTAGAGCAGACATTTCCATATGTTTTTGTTAGCTGCATGTGCGACATAACTCCACCAGTCCTACCGATAATCATTTACTTGAGACTTGCTTGTGATTAGAATAATAGTGACTTGGTCCCACCTCAAATAAAATAAAATGTTAATGGTCACGTACACATATTTAGCAGATGTTATTGCGGGTGTAGCGAAATGCTTGTGTTCCTAGCTCCAACAGTGCTAGCTCCAACACAAATCTAAAAGTAAAAGAATGGAATTAAGAAATATATAAATATTAGGACGAGCAATGTCGGAGTGGCACAGACTAAAATACAGTGGAATAGAATACAGTATATACATATGAGATGATTAAAGCAAAAATATGTAAACATTATTAAAGTGACTAGTGTTCCATTATTAAAGTGGCCAGTGATTCCATGTCTTATGTATATAGGGCAGCAGCCTCTAAGGTGCAAGGTGCAGGGTTGAGTAACTGGGTGGTAGCCGGCTAGTGAAGGCTATTTAACAGTCGGATAGCCTTGAGATTGGCTTTGATGCACCTGTACTGACCTCGCCTTCTGGATGAGAGCGGGGTGAACAGGCAGTGGCTCAGGTGGTTGATGTCCTTGATGATCTTTTTGGCCTTCCTGTGACATCGGGTGCTGTAAGTGTCCTGGAGGGCAGGCAGTGTGCCCCCGGTGATGTGTTGGGCAGACCACACCACCCTCTGGAGAGCCCTGCGTTTGCGGGCGGTGCAGATGCCGTACCAGGCGGTGATACAACCGACAGGATGCTCTCAATTGTGCATCTGTAAAAGTTTGTGCGGGTCTTAGCATTCTGCTAGTTAGCTAATGCTAATCCGTACTATTGCTGTTTGAAAGTTGAAGTTAATTCCTACACAGCCACAGTTAGCGTTAGCTTTGTGAACTGAGTCAAATTAAGTTACTCAGTACGCACAAAAAAACTGATCTAAGGTCAGTTGTGTGTTTATCCTTAACCAGATCTGGCTTTGTCAGGCTTTACCCAAATCACCTTGCCGATCTGGATTTGGTAGGTCTAGCCTTTTCATATGACTATGCCAATGCTGCCTGTGTGGTATTCAGGCCTTACGGTAACTTGAATTACTGAGATGTCTTTTATTGTACAATGTATTGTATGAGAGGTAGCGTGTGTGCATGAGAGAGTAGTGTGAGGTGCTGTAAATTAGCTGGATTAGAGATTATACAGGAGAGCATCTGTCAGAGAGCCTCTCTCCTACCACTAGCTGTAGGCTACTGCTACCTGCTGCTCTAAACTAGCGCTATGCTACCTAGGCTACTGCTACCTGCTGCTCTAAGCTAGCGCTATGCTACCTAGGCTACTGCTACCTGCTGCTCTAAGCTAGCGCTATGCTACCTAGGCTACTGCTACCTGCTGCTCTAAGCTAGCGCTATGCTACCTAGGCTACTGCTACCTGCTGCTCTAAGCTAGCGCTATGCTACCTAGGCTACTGCTACCTGCTGCTCTAAGCTAGCGCTATGCTACCTAGGCTACTGCTACCTGCTGCTCTAAGCTAGCGCTATGCTACCTAGGCTACTTCTTGGGAATCTCAATATGACTACAACTCCCTTTTACTGTAACTGTACATAACTTCTTATCTACTTTTGAAAACAAATAAGCCTAATGACTGTTATAAAGTGTTCTATTATTGATCGCTGTGTGTGTGTGTGTGTGTGTGTGTGTGTGTGTGTGTGTGTGTGTGTGTGTGTGTGTGTGTGTGTGTGTGTGTGTGTGTGTGTGTGTGTGTGTGTGTGTGTGTGTGTGTGTGTGTGTGTGTGTGTGTGTGTGTGTGTGTGTGATTCCTCCAGGTAAAGCAGCTTGTATAACACAGTATCCTGTATGAGGTATTGTCTCTGTCTCTCTCTCTCAGACATGTCGCGGCGCAGTATGAGGCTGGTTTTAGGGGGATACTACCACCAATCCTCAGACGATGACGAGTCCTCCTCCGTTTCCTACAGGGAGAGCCCTGTGAGGTGTGTGTGTGTGTGTGAGTGTGTTGTGTTTCATGTTGTACCGTATAGCCTAATACAGTAGGCCTGACAAAGTTGCTTTAACAAAGTTATCTCTCTCTCTCTCTCTCTCTCAGGGTTTTTACTAAGAGGAAGACGGGTGGTCGTAAAGTGGCAGCCTCTCGTACCTCCAGCCGGGCCAACAGCGTGGCTAGCACCACTAGCAGCAAGACTAGTACAGTGGAGCCACCCATCAATGCTGAGGACTACATTGGTACGGTTCACACCACTTCCTACATCCACTGTCTTAATGACACTCACTCAGTTACTTTCACTGTCTAAGCCTATTCTGTATACTTTGTATTGCAGCTGCCTGTTTGTCTATGGTTATAGTTAGCTATTATGGCTATTCAAAACTGACCGTCTGACTCTCTCTATTTGTCCCCGCACACCCTGCCTTTCAGGGGTCTTAAGCTTGGGTCAGAGGAGGAAGACCTTCCAGGAACCTCCAGCCCCAGCCCCGGCCCCGGCCCCCAGCCTGAAGCTGGCTCCCAGCCCCAGGGGCTTCTCATCCTGCCAGACTGGCCTGAACCAGGCCCAGAGCCAAAGCGCCGTAGACAGCTCTGGTTACTCCTCTTCAGAGGCAAGACGTTACAGAGGATACTCTGGAGACTCCTCCTTAGGCAAACAAAGGGTTAGCGCCAACCAGAGCTCTGGCAGCAACAGGACAAGCGCCAGTGCCAGCCGGAGTGAGTAGTGTGTGTGCTAACTTTACCTGCTGGCGTAGCATTAGCTTGTCTCTATGCTTGTAGCTTGTTTGTTAACGTTAGCTTTATCTCTGTCTTCTCCTGTAGCCCCTCCGTTTGTCCCGGCCGATGTGAGGAAGGCCGTTCTAATTGCCATCCTCCTCATCCTGTTGACCTTCGGTGAGTGACATCACACCACAGAATCAGACCGTCTATAGTTCTATAGAACTGCCATGAAAAGAATCAACAGCACTGTTACTTTATTGGTGCCAGCAGTACATTGTACACAGATGACATGCCTAACAATAGTACTTACTGCCAATTGAAATAACAGAAGTACAACACATACAACCCATTGTTGACGATCAATAATGTTCTAAATGTTGTCTGTGTAACCTGTCCTGTATGATAATGTGCTCCTTAGAGTATTCAAGTCTATTCTACCCCTCTCTGCTAGGCTGCTGGCACCTTGCCCCCTTGGTATGGGCCTCCCTGACTCCAGCCCTGAATGTTATGACTATGACCCAGAACCGACCCGTCATCACCCCGACTCCACCACCTGTCTTCACTCCGCCTCCCAAGGCTATGGTAGGATCTGATGGGACCGCATACCCGCCAATAATCTCTCTTTCTCTTGATTTGATAGGATGCTGCATTGACGCTCTCCATGTGTACTCCTGGATTGTACAATAAAAGCTTGTTTGTTGAAACTCTTTCTGCAGGATGGAGCTTCGGTATTTAATTCTGCTCTGGAAGCTAAGATGAACACCATCCTGGTAAGGGAGACAAAGAGAGAATGCACAAATATACAGCATTTGGGTGTATTCATTGGGTTAACTGACTTGTGTACGTGTTCTCCCGCAGAGAGAAATAGAAATTCTTAAGAAGAAGGAACACCAGCAGAAATTTGTGACCGAGGTGAGTACTCTACAGTGCAGTATTATTTGGAATGGGGTGTCATAAGGTCCTATAACAGTCTAGTATGGAGAACAGTGTTTCAGTTATAGATGTCTATTGTAGTGTAGTATATGTGTAATAGGGAGTGATTTATAATACCCCATAATGACAAAGCAAAAACAGGTTTTTAGACATATTTGCAAATGTATTATAAATAAAAAAACGGAAATATCACATTTACATAAGTATCCAGACCGTTTAGTGAGTACTTTGTTGAAGCACCTTTGGCAGCGATTACGGCCTCGAGTGTTCTTGGATATGACGCTACAAGCTTGGCACACCTGTATTTGGGGAGTTTCTCCCATTCTTACATTTACATTACATTTACGTCATTTAGCAGACGCTCTTATCCAGAGCGACTTACAAATAGGTGCATTCACCTTATAGCCAGGGGGATAACCACTTTACAATGTTTTTTTAATTTAATTTTGTATTTATTTTTTGGGGGGGTTGGAGTAAGGGGGGGGGGGGGGGGGGGGGGGGGGTAGAAGGATTACTTTATCCTATCCCAGGTATTCCTTAAAGAGGTGGGGTTTCAAATGTCTCCGGAAGGTGGTGAGTGACTCCGCTGTCCTGGCGTCGTGAGGGAGCTTGTTCCACCATTGGGGTGCCAGAGCAGCGAACAGTTTTGACTGGGCTGAGCGGGAACTATGCTTCCGCAGAGGTAGGGGAGCCAGCAGGCCAGAGGTGGATGAACGCAGTGCCTTCGTTTGGGTGTAGGGACTGATCAGAGCCTGAAGGTACGGAGGTGCCGTTCCCCTCACAGCTCCGTAGGCAAGCACCATGGTCTTGTAGCAGATGCGAGCTTCAACTGGAAGCCAGTGGAGTGTGCGGAGGAGCTGGGTGACGTGAGAGAACTTGGGAAGGTTGAACACCAGACGGGCTGCGGCATTCTGGATGAGTTGTAGGGGTTTAATGGCACAGGCAGGGAGCCCAGCCAACAGCGAGTTGCAGTAATCCAGACGGGAGATGACAAGTGCCTGGATTAGGACCTGTGCCGCTTCCTGTGTAAGGCAGGGTCGTACTCTCCGAATGTTGTAGAGCATGAACCTACAGGATCGGGTCACCGCCTTGATATTAGCGGAGAACGACAGGGTGTTGTCCAGGGTCACGCCAAGGCTCTTCGCACTCTGGGAGGAGGACACAATCTCACAAACACACATCTTCTCTGCAGATCCTCGCAAGATCTGTCAGGTTGGATGGGGAGCGTCGCTGCACTGCTATTTTCAGGTCTCTCCGGAGATGTTAGATCGGGTTCAAGTCCGGGCTCTGGCTGGGCCACTCAAGGACATTCAGAGACTTGTCCCGAAGCCACTCCTGCGTTGTCTTGGATGTGTGCTTAGGGTCGTTGTCCTTCGTTGTTTCATCAGACCAGAGAATCTTGTTTCTCATGGTCTGAGAGTCCTCTAGGGGCCTTTTGGCAAACTCCAAGCGGGCTGTCATGTGCCTTTTACTGAGGAGTGGCTTCCGTTTGGCCACTCTACCATAAAGGCCTAATTGGTGGAGTGCTGCAGAGATGGTTGTCCTTCTGGAAGGTTCTCCCATCTCCACAGAGGAACTCTGGAGCTCTGTCAGAGTGACCATCGGGTTCTTGGTCACCTCCCTGACCAAGGCCCTTCTCCCCCGATTGCTCAGTTTGGCCGAGCGGCCAGCTCTAGGAAGAGTCTTGGTGGTTCCGAACTTCTTCAATTTAAAAATGATGGCGGCCACTGTGTTTTTGGGGACCTTTAATGCTGAAGAAATGTTTTGGTACCCTTCCCCAGATCGACGCTTCGACACAATCCTGTCTCGGAGCTCTACGGACAATTCCTTCGACCTCCTTGGTTTTTGCTAAGACATGCACTGTTAACTGTGGGACCTTATATACACAGGTGTGTGCCTTTCCAAATCATGTCCAATCAATTGAATTTAACATAGGTGGACTCCAATCAAGTTGTAGAAACATCTCAAGGATGATCAATGGAAACAGGATGCACCTGAGCTCAATTTCGAGACTCATAGAAAAGGGTCTGAATACTTACGTAAAGACGTTTTTCTATTTATTTTTGTTTGTTTTTACATAAAAAAAAAAAAAAAACATGTTTTCACTTTGTCATGATGGGGTATTGTGTGTAAATTGATGAAGATTTGATTTGATTTGAACCATTTTAGAATAAGGCTGTAACATGTATATGTTTGCCTTCCAAAAGTATTCATCCCCCTTGGCATTTTTCCAATTTTGTTGCATTACAACCTGTATATTTAAATGGATTTTTATTTGGATTTCAACAAATTCAAAAAAAATATATAACGGAAAAGTGGTGCGTGCATATGTATTCACCCCCTTTGCTATGAAGCCCCTAAATAAGATCTGGTGCAACCAATTACCTTCAGAAGTCACATAATTAGTTAGATTGCACACAGGTGTACTTTATTTAAGTGTCACATGATCTCAGTATATATACACCTGTTCTGAAAGGCCCCAGAGTCTGCAACACCACTAAGCAAGGGGCACCACCAATCAAGCGGCACCATGAAGACCAAGGAGCTCTCCAAACAGGTCAGGGACAAAGTTATGGAGAAGTACAGATCAGGGTTGGGTTATAAAAAAACATCAGAAACTTTGAACATCCCACGGAGCACCATTAAATCCATTATAAAAAAATTGAAAGAATATGGCACCACAACAAACCTGCCAAGAGAGGGCCGCCCACCAAAATTCACAGACCAGGCAAGGAGTGCATTAATCAGAGAGGCAACAAAGAGATCAAAGATAACCCTGAAGGAGCTGCAAAGCTCCACAGCAGAGATTGGAGTATCTGTCTGTAGGACCACTCCACAGAGCTGGGCTTTATGGAAGAGTGGACAGAAAAAAGCCATTGCTTAAATAAATAAATAAGTAAAAATGTTTGGTGTTCGCCAAAAGGCATGTGGGAGACTCCCCAAACATATGGAAGAAGGTACTCTGGTCAGATGAGACTAAAATTGAGCCTTTTGGCCATCAAGGAAAACGCTATGTCTGGCGCAAACCCAACACCTCTCATCACCCCGAGAACACCATGTTTTTCATCGGCAGGGACTGGGAAACTAGTCAGAATTGAAGAAATGATGGATGGCGCTAAATACAGGGAAATTCTTGAGGGAAACCTGTTTCAGTCTTCCAGAGATTTGAGACTGGGACGGAGGTTCACCTTCCAGCAGGACAATGACCCTAAGCATACTGCTAAAGCAACACTCAAGTGGTTTAAGGGGAAACATGTAAATGTCTTGGAATGGCCTAGTCAAAGCCCAGATCTCAATCCAATTGAGAATCTGTGGTATGACTTAAAGATTGCTGTACACCAGCGGAACCCATCCAACTTGAAGGAGCTGGAGCAGTTTTGCCTTGAAGAATGGGCAAAATTCCCAGTGGCTAGATGTGCCAAGCTTATGGAGACATACCCCAAGAGACTTGCAGCTGTAATTGCTGCAAAAGGTGGCTCTATTAAGTATTGACTTTGGGGGGGTGAATAGTTATGCACGCTCAAGTTTTTCTGTTTTCTTGTCTTATTTCTTGTTTGTTTCACTAAAATATATATTTTGCATCTTCAAAGTGGCATGTTGTGTGAATGAAATGATACAAACCCCCATAAAATCAATTTTAATTCCAGGTTGTAAGGCAACAAAATAGGAAAAATGCCAAGGGGGTGAATACTTTCGCAAGCCTGTGTGTGTGTGTATGTTTTGTACTATAGAAGTGTTGTATATTTACGTATATGGTTGAGATGTAGTCTTTGTGCTCGTCTATCCCAACAGATGGTAGAGAGACTGCAGACAGACTTGGCAGATGTTAGGACGGACGTGAGGGACGTGAGAGTGAGAGTGGACAGGTGAGTGTGTGTGTGTGGCTGGCCCCATCCAGAACCTACCCCTAGCCTCTACCTCCTGCCCCTACCCCTAGCTCCTGCCCCTACCTACTACCCCTAGCCTCTACTTCCTGCCCCTGCCCCTACCCCTAGCTCCTGTCCCATGCTCCCCAGGGTTGAGTATGTTCCAGTTATAGTAACATTCTCCTCCAACAGTAGATCTCTGGGCACTTGGGAAGATTGAAAGGATTGAAAACCTACTCTCATGCTTTTTCTATTGACCGATCTAATGTCCCAACCTTGGTTGCAAAACAAACTTTGTCTTAAATCCAATCTTGACTTAACCTTTAAGAATGTTTTGTGAGTTTGCTGTCACAGGGGGTTGAAAGAAGATAAATTAACATCTCTGTTTCTCACTGGACAATTAAGTTATATTGTATTCTTTTCTATTGTAGTGTGAATCCGCTGGATTGGGAGCATCGTTTGAGCCAGCAGACAGCCGGCTTCACCAGTCAGGTGGGCGAGCTGAAGGACCAACACACACACGTCAGGCAGAGAGTCGCTTCCCTGGAGGACCAGAGTGCCACGGTAATGTACACAAAACACACATACTCAGTCAAATTTGTAGCACTGAACTTTTGCACTTTCTTAAAAGTGGTTCTGCATAAGAACTGGTGCTAAATATCTAAAATGTGAATGGATGAGTCCAAAATGGCACCCTATTCCCTACATAGTGCACTACATTTCACATTTTAGTCATTTATCAGACGCTCTTATCCAGAGCGACTTACAATACATTTTGACCAGAGCCCTATGGTAGTGCACTAAACAGGGAATGGGGTGCCATTTGGGACACAGTCAATTATGAGCCTTCCTAACCTAATGGATGTGGTCTCTCTGTGTTGTGTAGCTGGGGCAGCAGGTCTCCTCTATTCAGAACCAGCTTCCTCCAGCTCCCAACCCCACCACAGCCAACACACACCTGACCTATGAGCTCAAAGAGACCATGGCCAAATGGCTGCGTGAGAATGTGCCCCAGAACGAGCCACGGATGGTGAAAGAGGTTGTGAAGGACTGCAGTCCCCTATTGGCCGACAGGATGCCGGACTTTGCCTTAGAGTCCCAAGGTGCCAGCGTTGTGAGCACACGGTGTTCTGAGACTTACCGTACCCGCTCGGCATGCGTGTCCTTCCTGGGTGTACCCCTCTGGTACCCCTCTGAGAGCCCCCGCACCGTTATCCAGGGCCAGGCGGTGCAGGCTGGGAAGTGCTGGGCGTTCCACGGAGCGCAGGGCACCCTGGTCATCGCCCTGTCTCATCCTGCCCACATCACCCACGTCACCCTGGAGCACCTGCCCGTCTCCAACGCCCCCACCGGACGCATCGACAGTGCGCCCAAGGCCTTCTCTGTCTATGTGAGTCATCTCTGACCTCTGACCTCTGGCCCTTCCCTGACACACTATTCAGTGCATAACTTTTGCCCAGAGCCACATCTACATAATCTACTGTTGAGGATTTCCTACAGAGATGTTTAGAGCAGTATGGTGAATATCTTTAACGCTGATGACTCGTTTCTGTCTTTAAAAATCGGACTCCTCCCTCTCTCTGTGCAGGGTATGTCCACTGAAACAGAAGATGGCATCTGGCTGGGAACCTTCACTTATGATCAGCACGGAGAGCCAATCCAGACCTTCCAACTGCCTGTGAGTCCCAAAATTCTATCTTAGCCTGGGTTGTATTCATTAGTGCACACCGTTTCAAAATTAAGCAAAACATTTTGCTACAGAAAATGTGTGTTTCTTATTGGACAAGTTCAGGTAGTCCCTCCCTCCTTTCAGTTTTTCTTCCATTTGGTGCCTAGTGAATACGACCCCCAGTTAGGCAACCTAGGTTATTTTTGGTTGGCGTGACGTTAGTCGGGCTTGATGTTTATGCAACAGACTATAGCTGAAATAAGCCTGGAATAGAACTGGACTAGGACCATAGAACTAAGTTCTAACTACCTAGCTAGTAACTACTGTTGACCCTAATGCAATATCCATTCAGTCATCTAACCTTTTCTCCTTGTTCTCTCTGTCAGAACCCTACCAGGGCTGGCTATTATTACGTGGAGCTGCGCATTCTGAGTAACTGGGGTCACCTGGAGTACACGTGCGTGTACCGCTTCCGTGTGCACGGACACATGGCCGCCTCTTCCAAGTGAGAGGGGTTGACCGTCCACCCCAACCGCAGACCTCAGAGGCTTCGCTTTCATATCGGAGCAATTTTTTTTGGTTGCATCTCAACATTATGACGGACCATTCTAAATAAATCCCTCTATTTGGCATAATCCGGGTGGTTTCCTAAACTGGCTTCTGCTTGGTGTGAGGTCAGAGGTTAGTAGGGTTAAAGTTACAATTTGCAGTTTCATTTCTGGAAGAGGTATTGACCTGGCTAATAGGAGTGAGGGGATGTGCTTTTGAGAGCTACAAATTGAACTGTTTGTGTGCGTGTGTACGCTTTTGAGCATAGATTATTTGTTTGCATTTTAACCCCCGGCCACAGCGGACAAATATTTCAGATTGTACTTTGAATGTGTGTGTATGACAATCCTTCCTGTGTTACTGGGCTCTTATTCAGTTATTTAGTTTTATTTGATCTGTATCTTACAATTATAAAAAAAATTATACAAAGGTTTAATTATGTTTTAAAAAGAACGTTGTTGGATGTATATTTTGCAAGTATCGAGATGTATTTTATTAGGCCGATAAGAATTGGATGTAATATGCTTGTAAATGTATTATTTTCTGTTGGTCTGAATGGTTAAAAGTCTTGACGCACCTTGTCAATAGGCTTCCTATTACAGGATGTACTATATGATTGTAGATGCTTGCTACTTTGCATTTGGTAATGCACTGGTGTTTCAATTTCCTTATAATAATACCAACTACAGAGAAATAGACAAGTACACACTGAGGGTGGAACGTATTGTCTGAACAAAAAAATACAGCTAAGTTTACATGGCTTGCAGCATTTATTTTCGTTTTATTTTAAGTCATAATTCTTTTCAAATGTGGTATTCTTACCAATTTTGATCAGTTTAATAGTAGTGTGCGCACGTTTAGCATTTTTACAGATGCAAGGTACAAATCATAGAAAATAAATACATAATTTTTCTCTACCAATTTTACTGCAATACTTGAATAACTCTTTCACCTCAAAGCAATGAGTCCATTGCAATGATGTCTAAATATCAGGCTTTTCTACTTCTAAAGATTTGTAAATAGTAAAAAAAGTTTGAAATAATCAGGAACATTTTATTCATGTTTTTAAATCATTATGTTTACAATTACAGTATTATGTGCACCATTTTAGTGGTAGCTACAGACTAACAAAAGACAAGAAGGACATATACAGAATGATTAGCTCTCAAAAGCATTTTTTGAGGTATTTTGTTTTTATCTGATGTTACGGCAGTGAAACATCGTACTTAACTCTGGGTCAATTTTAAGTTTGTCCAAATACAACAGAATATAAGTAAAGAATTTATCCATAGGAATGCAGTTCAATACCTGTGTATGACATGTACTCTGAAATTGCACTTCAATTATTTTGGGTTACTTTTCTGCAACAATGCTCTTTGACAGAGCGGCATTTTGACAGGTACATGATCAGATGTTTAGAATTGGGACATACTTAACCAGGTGCGTGTTATATTGGCACGAAATGGGATAAAACATTTTGAAACAGGGTGAGTGAAACAGGAAAGTAGTATGTGAACTTGTTTAAGAATTCTGAATTGTTTTGTGTTGCAACATTTTTGCTACATTGTGCCCAACTGAATACGGCACAGGTGAACATAATGCTCATGATATTGGTTTGTATTTATTTAATCATGTGCATATCAAACATAAATGAATTAAGAACATTGTGTTATTTATTTGTTTTTCAAATACTCAGTGGTCTATATATGATATTGATTTGCTATTGATCAGGTCATTGATAATGCATCGATATTGTACCATGTAATTAATGCAGGGTAATGTAAAATGACTGCACAAGTCTTCCCTTGGACTGTTATATCCAAGTCCAGGCACTCGTGTGGACTATTAAAATATATCAACGCGTATTGGCTTACTGCGTCTGATACAAAATGGAGGAGATGCAATTATATAGCCTTGACTCACTTGGAATCAGACACCCTGATGAAGGCCTAAGCCAATATGCATTAGTGTATTTTAATAATGTTGTAGCCCATTCATTTTTTTAATGGGCTTTTTAATGAAAGGCTTTCTAACTTTCAAACCCACCAGGTGCCTTGACTTGGATTGTTTATGCCACTTAGCACCTATTTGTGGTTATCATTTATCCATTATGCTTTTCAAGTCATATTCCCCTCAAAGAGCACCTGTGGTTGTTTTGGAATACCTGAAGCGCTTCTGCTACGTTTTCTTTCTTCTTCTCTTCGAGGTGTTATAGACATTGGAGTGACAAATAAAACTTAACAACCGTGTTGCCTTTTTCAACTGATTATTTTAACTCAAATTGCTCAGCAATGCTTTTAAAGTAAAGCTACAGTGCCTTCAGAAAGTACCCCTTGCCTTATTCAACATTTTGTGTTACAGCCTGAATTCAAAATGGATCAAATAAAAATAAAATCACCCATTTACACAATACCCCATATTGACAAAGTGAAAACTTGTTTTTAGACATTTTCGCACATATCTCATTTACAGAAGTATTCACGCCCCTGAGTCAATACTTTGTAGAAACACATTTGGCAGTGATTACAGCTGTGAGTCTTTTGGGGGTAAGTCTCTTAAGAGCTTTGCACACCTGGATTGTACAGTATTTGCCGATTGTATTATTTTTATTCTTCAAACTCTGTCAAGTTGATTGTTGACCATTGCTAGACAGCCATTTCCAAGTTTAGCCATATATTTTCAAGTAGATTTGAGTCAAAACTGTAACTCTGCCACTCAGGAGCATTCAGTGTCGTGTCGTCTTGGTAAGCAACTCCAGTGTAGATTTGGCCTTGTGTTTTAGGTTATTGTCCTGCTGAAAAGTGAATTTGTCTCCCAGTTTCTCTTGGAAAGTGACATAACATAACACTTTGTATTCAGGACAAAAAGTTCATTTCTTTGCCAATTTTTTTACAGTATTAGTTAAGTGCCTTGTTGCAAACAAGATGCATGATTTTGAATATTTTTATTCTGTATAGGCTTCCTTATTTTCACTCTCATTTAGGTTAATATTGTGGAGTAACTACAATGTTGTTGATACATCCCCAGTTTTCTCATATCACAACCATTAAACTCTGTAACTGTTGTAAAATCACCATTGGCCTCATGGTGAAATCCCTGAGCATTTTCCTTCCTCTCCGGCAACTGAGTTAGGAAGGACGCCTGTATCTTTGTAGTGACTGGGTGTATTGATACACCATCCAAAGTCTGCTTTTTAAATTTTTACAATTGGTGACCTTTGACCTTTGCGAATAATTGTGGTTGAATCTGTGCTTGAAATTTACTACTCGATTGAAGGACCTTACAGATAATTGGGGGGTAGAGCGATGGGGTAGTTATTCAAAAATCATGTTAACCAGTATTATTGAACACGGAATGAATCCATTTAACTTATGTGATTTATGCAAATGTTTACTCCTAAACGTATATTGGCTTGCCATAACAAAGGGGTTGAATACTTAATGACTCAAGACATTTCAGCTTTTAATTTCTTAATTTCTAAAATTCTCTACAAACAAAATTCCATTTTGACATTATGGGGTATTGTGTGTAGATCAGTGACACAATCTCAATTTAATCAATTTTAAGTTCAGGCTGTAACACAACAAAATGTGGAAAAAGTAAAGGGGTGTGAATACTGTCTGACGGCACTGTAAGTAATATGGTGGTTTGGTTTTACATATATTCTTAAATCACTGGGAATCGTATGCCAGTTCTATCCCCATACTCTCTGAAGTGTGCGCCTGTTCACGTCCTATCACAAATTGGTTTAATAAGGACAATTTAGGATTGTTACATCAATTTTTTTACTTTAAAATTAACAAGAGGGTGCTGCTCACCATCAAAATGATACATAGATTTAACTTATGGTGTTGATAGTGTGTGCATGTGCAAACGATGTCTGCCAGTACTGTGCTCTAAAACACCGAAGAAGACATTTTAACACACAATCTCCAGGATGGCAAAGGACTTAACCCCTGATTCACAGAATCTTTCACACTACTGACTTAGTATTTTTTTTTTTTACATTGAGAGTTGCAGCACTCTTCACAGTTCAAACTATCATTTCGATCTCATGGAGTGGTCCCCTTGTTTCCCTTGCAAACTGAGAGGTGAAACCTCTGAACTTCTGCTCCAATGTGCTTTGAAAAGAAGAATAGGAAGGTGGACATGAGCAATCAAGGAAATACAATTGAGATTCACCCCATTAGGTGGAGTGAATGAGCGCATACTTCAGGAAGAGGGGTTGAGAATCAGACCATAGCCAGGGTTATTAGACTGAAGTGCTCTTCCACTGTCCTAATGTGATGTCAAGGGGCGCGTTTGAGTGGTAAGGCTAAAGCAACCGACTGTAGACGAAAGTGGAAGAGTGAAGTCAGGGGAGGTGCATCTGCGACAGCCGAAAGTCGGACACTAATGTGGTTTTCCAACAGCAACGCACAGATCAACAAGGCAGTGATGCCATTGTTTATAAAGGTTTTTCTTTATAATGTCAAAATAAATGTCTCCAACCCCCATATCACACACTCACAAACTATAAATATATGTGTATACATTGTTGGTGAGAGAGAGCCTCAAATATCACATTCAATTGTACATATCCACTGTGAATCGTGGCAAAGTTGGTTCATGTTTCAGCAATGTCTTTGATCACGTTCACGTGGGTCAAACAAAAACAACTAATGATTGGTTGACAATAGAACCTCCCACAATGCAGGCGATGGCTGCAGGATGAAGTTGGTGAAGAGCAACTGCAGAAATTTTAAGTTGACTGCAGTCACATGATTTTTTGTAAAGTTTATGCAGTCGTCATGTAAGCGCAAGTGGGACAATTTGTATCCCCATAATGCAACACACTTTGGAAGGCAACTTGACAAAAGTGATCCGCTCAAACGCGCCCATTGGCTCGAATCTAGTTTGTTCCTTTAGATTTTGAGAAAATTAACACCTAAGGAAGAATTTTTCACAACTGTCATTGGCC